GTCGGGTGATTCCTGGCTGACCTCCAGGCTGTTGAGGTCTGTTGCCATCTCTGGGCGGGACCGGCTAGTGGTTAGAGCAGGGGCAATCAGAGCGGAGCTGTGCTCCAAAGTGTGCACAGCGGGACGTTTTCAAAGGAGCCGGGAGGCAGGACTCCTTGGTGATCTCCTGATCTGGGAGGGCAGTCGGGTCTAGTGGGTAAAGCAGGGGGGCTCTGGTGCAGGACTCCTGGGTTCTGCCCTCAGCTCTGGCGCGAGCCAGTAAAGGCTAATGGTGTCAGGCCTGGAGGGCCCTGCTACCTGCTGAGGGGCAGAGCAGCTCCCAGGGCGGAGAGTGGAGTTGGAGCCAGCCACAAGTTCTGTGCAGATGATCTAGCCCATTCCCCAAGCGGGGCTGGAGGGGAGGGATGGGAAGAGGGGTGTGCCCAGCCCACTACCATCTTCCTGGCTGGCACCCCCAGATTTAGCTAGCCCACCCTGGCAGGTGCCAGACTCGTGCTGCCTGCCCGAGAGAGGCTGGAATGAAGCTGGCCGTAAAGACAGATGGGACCCGAGCAGCGTTCCCAGTAAGTTGGGCGCTTGGGTGCCCAGGTGCTGCCCAGCTGATCACAGCCTGTACTTCTATTGGTGGTGCACATCACCACATTTATTCCACACACAGATGGAAACACTTAGAGGGAACATTGGACCTGAGAGGTGGCCCAGCAGAGAGAGGAAACAGCCAAGGTGCAGCAGGTGAGTAGAGGGCGCTGCTTTGGGAGGGGGCCTGCCTCAGAAGGGGAGCTGGACTTAGCCCCACTTGTAGCATGAAGATCAGCAGGCCTGAGAGCCACCGGTAGCTCAGCTGTGAGTTGACAAACATCTTCCAGTGCCCGTGAGCGAGTGGGGGAGATTTGCCACCTCTCACCTGCCCCCCACAGCAGTGAAAGGCTGGGCCCAGTCTATGCCAGCCACCCACCGAAGCGAGGTCACCCCCAGCTGCCCAGGTTCCGGTTCCAGGTCACGTCTCTGCGAAGCCCACTGGCACACGGATGTCCGACACCAGCCGCCTTTGGAACGCGCGTGTGAACCCTGGTGCCGGGGCTACAGCATCCCCGTAGCAGTTGTGTGGCCTCTGGCAAGCAGGAGGTGAGACTAGAGCATCCCAATGGCTCCATCGGGCCTGGGCATCTCTGAGTCTAAGCCCGGATTTCAACACTGGCGATTGCATCTCCTGTCACTGAAGGCACTCCTGGGGCTGGTTGGGGGGTGCA